TAATGGCGAGCAAGACATGTTTTCAAATTAGTTGGCTCTCCAAACAGCAGTACACTCCTTGGTTGGAAAAAGATGAAGATGTGTTTGCTGCTAGATGTAAATTGTGTAAAAAATCGTTTAGTATTATGAAATTAGGTGAAAGTGGCTTACGGATACATTCAAAAGGAATAAAACATCAAGCGAACAAGAAGAACATATCCTCTACTTTCGACTTGAAGAAAGTCTTGACTGTGAGTATAAATATACTTTATTTGTCTGTCTTTCTCTCTTCTGAATTATAGCGTCAAAAATAATTTCATAAAAATCATATTGAATTTTAAGCTGGTCAAACTATTTACCGAACCAAAGGAAAATATTGAGAGCAAAAATAGAAACTAGTATGTCCTACACCTCACTATTTTAGTATTTTCAAGGTATATATATATATATATATATATATATATATATAGCCCTGGGTGGCTGTGTGGTCTAAAGTGCTGTCCGTTACGGATCACTGCCATCTCACCTCTGCATGTGTTCTAGGATTCGGCTAATGTAGATATGTGAGAAAGCTTGCCAGTAGCTTCTCGTGGGTTGCTGGTTCTTTCTGGTGATTTCCTTGTTTCTTCCTCCACCATTAATACTGGCCGCCATGAATAGCCTATCGTGTGCTGAAAAATGGTGTTAAGCCCAACAACAAAAACATATATATATATATATATATATATATATATATATAAATATATATATATATATATATATATATATATATATATATATATTTAATTACTCTTTACTTTTGTGTAAGTTTGCTTTATCATCATTATTATCTAAAACTTAAGAATTTATAAGGGTATTAAAAGGGAAACAACTTTGTCCAGGGTTCCTGCAGGTCATGGAATCCAGGAAAAGTTTTGGAATTTAAAAAATAAATTTCAATGGCCTTGAAAAGTTATGGAATTTATCAAAACCTTGCAAAGTTTTGGAAAGTCATGGAATTTGTGACAATGGAGTTAAAGAAATTGCTTACTTCAAATTTCATAGAGCACCAAGAACCGAATAAATAAAATGATAAAATTTCAATCAATAAATGGTTTCAATTCATATAACAAGAGTAAGTTTCCCTAATAGAAGTATCACATAAATTCTGGTGTAGTTCACTAAATAAAAGAAAGCAATTGGAAAGTAACGTGTTTTGTTAATATTGTAAATAGGAACACATACAAAGATTACATATGATTGTTTCCTTTTTTCTTTTGAATACAAATTACATTGATCATTGGATTATGACATGAATTACTACATAAAGTCAAAGTGTGCTAGCCCAGGTAAATTTAAAATGTACATATTAAAAATATCTTGTTAATTTATTTGTTATTTTAGATTGAAAGATGTCATTCTTTATATTCATTTAATTGACAATGCAAGATAGTGCGGTCCTTGAGTTTAATGAAATGGCCCTGGAAAAGTTTTGGAAAAGTCATGGAATTTGTTTTTGTTAAGTCTGCAGGAACCCTGTACAGTGTCATAACTGTAACAGTAAGCTTACATTCCAAATTTTAAATTTACAGTTTATATATAATTATTCAAGGTGTTTACCTTTTATTGCTATTATGGTGGGCTCGATTTAAATTAATAATGATATATCATTATCAATTTAGAAAAGTAAATCAAATTTGTGTTGAAACTATTCCAACATTAAGCATTACATTGTGGTACATGAATGTATATAAAGTACCAGCAGTATAAAAATTATTGCATGAAAAAAGCAGAAATTAATTACAATAAAATAATGTTTAATATATATAAATGTAGAACTTGTTTTTTTTCTTTTTTTAGTGTCAACAGTCTGATTCAGGAAAGGTATTGTTACCACAAAATCCAAATCCTCAACCATCCTGTTCAGTAGTGTCTAAAACCTCAGCATCTATGCAAGACCATGTAGCAAAAGAAGAAACATTAAAGGCAGAAATTATTTGGACATTGCACACAATAGATAAACACAGCAGCTTTTCATCAAATTCTGGAATAGCAAAAGTATTCCAGTTCATGTTTCCTGATAAGGCAGTTGCCAAAGAGTTCAGTCTTTTAGACAGGAAAACATATTTTGCTTCATTTGGATTGGCTCCATATTTTACATCTCTTTTAGAGGATCTGATAAAATGTGAAGAGTTTGTTTTGCTTTTTGATGAGAGCATGAGTGATGTCCTTCAAACTAAACAAATGGATATCCACGTTCGTTTTTTGGATCATGGCACAGTCAGAACTAGGTATTTAACATCAAACTTCCTTGGTCATTGTACTGCCTCAGATATGGTCTCAGCATTTGACTCTGTGACAGCAAACCTGAACTTGAACAATTTGATTCAGTTATCTATGGATGGGCCAAATGTTAATTGGGCTTTTTATAAGAAGATTGATTCTGCTCTGACCACTGAACATGGCATCACATTATTAAATGAAGTTGTTCACTTCACAAGGTCCATGGAGCATGCAAGACAGCAATGGATGCTGTTAACTGGAAATTAGATAAGATTCTGAGATCCCTTTTCCAGCTTTTTCACGACACACCAGCAAGAAGAGAAGATTTTGTGACTGATACTGGTACTTCCACCTTTCCTCTTCAGTTCTGCAAACACAGGTGGTTAGAGAACACCACCGTTGCTCAGAGGGCTTTAAATCTGATGGAACCTTTAAGAAAATAAGTTGGTGAGCTAATGAAATCAAGTGTTTCTGACCCGAAGACCAAGTCCTTTATGATCATGAAAGAAGTTCTTTTGAAGGATGAATTTTTTGACACCAAAGTTGGCATTCTTTATTTCACTTTCCAAGCATGTTGAGCCCTACCTTACAGAATACCAAACTAATGCACCGATGCTACAATTTGCTCATCACGATCTAAATGCTATTGCCATAGACCTTCTGAAGAGGTTTGTTGTCCCTGAAAAGATTGAGGAAATCAAAACAACAAAAGACATTGTTATATTTCAAGTAACTGACCCATTAAATCATGTAACCAGACACAAGGTTGCTGTTGGATTTGTAGCAGAGTCTATGATTAATGAACTAAAAAAGGCCATAAAAGTAAGTTTGCTACAAATCTTAGAATTTAAGAATGCATGCAAAAGTATTCTTGTTTGTTTTGCTGACAAATTCCTCACTAAATCACTTCACTATGGTTTAGTGAAGTGGCATGTCTTGACATGGCATGTCTTGACCTTGCTGCCATTTTAGAAAGTAAAGCATAAGCAGAGGCTAAATTGAAGAGAATCTTGCACTCATTAGTCAGCAAGAGAAAGTTCAATATCAGTTGTTGTGATGCTGTTCTTAATGAGTTTTCAGCATTTGTTGACTCGGCCATTAGCAATGGATCACTTGGAGCTTTCTCAAGAAAGACAAAATGTGTTTACACTTTTCTCTATGACAGGCTTGCTCATCAGCAGCAATATTCCAACCTTTGGCAAGTTGTGAAGACCTTACTTGTCTTGTCACATGGGCAAGCCACTGTTGAGAGGGGGTTCTCAGTAAATAAAGTAGTTGAAGAGATAAATATAGCAGAAAGAATTTTAATTGCCAAAAGGATCATTATTATTGATGCCATTAGAGCTGCTGGTGGAATCAATAAAGTTGAAATAACTCCAAGGCTGCCTATCAGTGCCAGCAGTTCATACAGCAGGTATGAAGTGTTTCTGCAAGATGAGAAGAAAAGAATGGAGACTGAGACAACCAATAGAAAAAGAAAAGCATTGAGACAACCAATAGGAAAAGAAAAGCATTGGATGAGGATATCATGAGTTTGAAAAAGAAAAAACAGCACTGACTTATGACATAGAAACATTGAACAGGTTAGCTGATGACTATGCATTAAAAGCTGAACATCAGAGGGACATTACTTTCATCAGCACATCAAATAGCTTAAGGACATCTGTGGAAAAAAAACAATTGGAAGAACAGTTGGATCTGGACAAGCAGATTGATGATAAACTAGAAGCATCAAAATATGTCTGAATTTTATATGACACTTCACTTTGTGCTCTGCTTATATATATATATATATATATATATATATATATATATATATATATATATATATATATATATATATATATATATATATATATGATTTAACCTCTCAATGCTTTGTTCATTAATTTCATTTATATCTTACCTTGTTAAGGTTGACCTTTGTAGAAAAAAGTTCAGGTCATATTATTAAAAATAATATAAAATTGATGAGAATGATGTTATTTGTGTCCATGAAAGTCTGAACACTGTATTTCTTTGAACCTAAAAAAATTGTCAAAAAGGCCTTAAAAAGCCTAAAATTTATAGAACTGAAATTGCTACTAACCCTGATATACACAAAAACAAGGAATAAAATAAATGGTTGAACCTGCTACTTTATGCAGTTGTACTTGCTGCTAGCCAATTTGTATGAGCATGAAAGGAGTGTGAATCAATAACAAATAAATTTTCATCTCGTGTGTGAAAGAGTGAAGTATTGTCACTCATGGTTAATGAGCTTTTCACCCACTCGATCAAGTAAATTTGTTATCTGCTGGTTTCAAGCATCTCTCTCTCTCTCTCTCTCTCTGTGTATATATATATATATATATATATATATATATATATATACAAACACACAGCCTCAGAAATATAGATCACTGTGACCTATATTTCAGGCATCATTGACTGGAGTAAAATTTTGTATTTTAAGTGTCAATCTACGTTAATGTTATCAAAGCAGGTGATTTTGTGCATCTTTTATATTGCTATGCCTAGATTTATATGATGTGGTGATGGAATGCATATGAATGAATATTGCCCTCTTATGACAAGTAGGTCACTGTAACATGTTTTTTTTGCTTGACTAACTGATAAAATTTTGTGGTTTAAGTTTATTTCTTAAGTTCTGTTTATACTATAAGCATCTTGACTGGATGAATGTATTGATCTATATGAATACCATAACCTTATAAAGTAAGGCCAATCTTGCTTACATTTTACTGACTTAGGTTTTAGACCAATCTGTTGGCCTAGTGGTTAGAGCGTCCGCCTCGGATGCGGGTGGTTGTGGCCTTGTGGGTTTGATTCCTGGTCGAGTCATACCAAAGACTTACAAAAATGGTTCTAACAGCTGCATCACTTGACACACAGCATTAAGAGGTTAGTGATAGGACTGATCGGCCTGGTGTCAGGATAATGTGACTGGGTGGAACATCATGCTACGTGTCTGCGGCATGATGACCCAGTGCTAGACATCACTATAAACTTCCACACTGCAGTTATCAAAGCAATATGACTGAAAAATTGTTAGAGCTTTATTAAAAATCATAAGCACATAACATCACTTAGGTTTTAGCTTTGCTGTTATCTTAAAACCAGATTTTAATACCCTCTCTCTCTCTCTCTCTCTCTCTCTCTAGATTCATGCAACTTAGTGATGGAATGCATTATTATAAGCACTACATTCTCATCACAAATGTAGGTCACTGTAACATAGTTCTTGATTCACTGACTTTGATTAAATGTTATGCATTAAGTTTATTTCTGAAGCTCTGTTCATAGAGAATCATCAAATTAGATGAGTGTATATATCACAAGTACCACAAAAGAATATCACTGACCTACATTGTACATTTTACTGGCTAAGATTTCATTTAGGGGTTTCACTCAACACCACATTTTTTTAGTGAAGGGTTGTAAGTTGATGAGTACTACACCCTGGCCAATATAATCCATATTTAATGCATCATTACCATGATTTCTGTCTTAAACTCTGTATATACCAGACATCAAACTAGGTATTCATTCATATTAGTACCACAGCTTTTCACCACAAGATTGTTGTGACCTACATTTTACATTGTTTGGCTAATGTTTTTGCATTTAGCTCATGACGACATTGATGTTTTATCTACTGTGTAAAACTGCTGTACCAAGGATCATGAAACATGACATAGTTGCATCATAATAAGTATAACTTTATCATCTTAAAAGTAGGTCACTTTGACATATATTTTACATTTAAATGACTTCAGTACCTGTTGACTCTTATTCTGTTATTGCTGTACTCCTTAAAGTAGTACTTTTAGTACTAAGTCCATACCAAAAAAAGGTCAAAGGTCATATTTTTCTAAATATCACCCATTGTACTGATATGGCTCACTGGGTGTGTAGAAATGGTCACTGCCATGAATAATGAATAATAAGTGAAGCATAGCATACAAATATTAATGGATTCCAAAAGGTTGTACAAATTTAATGAGAATATTTACGTTTAAAATTTGTAGTAAATTCAAAAGTTTTAGATTTTAGAATGAAGTAGCGGGAAAAGAACATTTCAATTCTAATGGATATTTGATTATATTCTGTGAAAAAGGAATGCATGTTTCTGTGCAGGAAAACTCAGCAATCCTAGATGAAATTTTAAATGAAGACATGCTGCTTGAAATTAAATGTCCAATGCATACTAACTGGACCATACTGGTAAACATTTTTTTTCAAACAAGAAGTATGAGGTCCAAAAGATTGGCAGTGACAGCTTAGTTAATAGAGAATAAAGGGTTCTATACGACAATATAGATTGGACTGGTCTTTGAAAATGTAAACATCTTGTACGGCTTAGAACAAAGGACAGCAAGCTGGTGCACAGTCAGTAAATGTCACAAACGTCGTTAACTATCACAAGTGACTGTTACCATGGACATAGCATGCAAAGTAAAGGTCACTCTTACACATTGTGACACTTACTGGCAGTATAAAAAATTCAGTTTAGCAATGTGTTCTGTGACCCAAATTTATTATTGATTTTACCTATTTATGACAAATATGCAGTAATTTGTAAATATAGTCGCAAATAACATATTCTGACCTAATAAGAACTGCTTGCTTGTTTTACACTCTACTTAAACAAATTTTAAAAATGTCTACTCCTCTTGTGTCATTTACAGGTCCTACACATGTCTCTTTCCATATCTTTTCTTATGGCATCAAAGAAATCCATGTACAACATGGTCAGATCTACCTCTCTTACCATATCTTGTCTTATGGCATCAAAGAAATCCATGTACAACATGGTCAGATCTACCTCTTACCATATCTTGTCTTATGGCATCAAAGAAATCCATGTACAACATGGTCAGATCTATATTTTCCACAAAATTGTTTTTTTTAAAAAAATTCCATCATTTGTTCTGAGTACTTAGTGTTTAATTCTTTATGAGTACATATGGGTGTTGCTTCTTCAGAAAATTTTGCAATTAGAATAGCAGCATCTCCATCTTCAGCATGCTGCTTCGCAGATTGGTAACATCTCAACACGTTGTTCAGCTTTCTCCTTGCTATCGTTTTCGTCGATTCCGTAAATTGTGTTTGTTTCTATCCGTGTCTACTATTCAATATCATATAAATATTTTTTTGAGAAATATTTTTGGCATGAAATCTATATGATTCTCGTTTTATTCATATAAATATTCAGACATCATATCGCAACTGAACACTTCTTTCAGATCCATAACATCCAGACTCGTCTAATTTTGTTGTCTCTTCAAATTTTTCTGCATTATTCTGCCAATTGACCAACTTTTACTTTTGACCTGGCATTCTATGTAGTGTGGTGTTCGAATATTTTTGATACAATTATTCCAGCGTAAACGTAAGGTTTCTGCTTTTCTACATAAAATGTTTCAAATAAATAATCTGACTCTTGCAGTATGTCAACACGTTTTCTTCATATTAGGGAAATACAACTACTATTTATGTATAACCTAGATCTTTCTATACATAGTATCGCTCATAATAATCATAACGCACGTTTATCTCCATTTTTACTCGGTCAGTGCGCCAAGTGTTTGTGCGCTCATTATGTCTGAAAAAATCACCGTTCTATCCACAAAAATTAACAGGTAAGCAGAGCTGTTCGACCTAAAAATATATATTAAAAAATATTGAAAACACGCTACATGCACAGCTGTTAGATCTGATCTTCATTTACATATCCGTATTTTGAAAGAAAATCATCTCTTTTCACTTTCATGTCATAACGTCTTCCGTCATTCCTATTCTTTATTATCACATTCGAGAGCTGATGTTGATAGATACCAGACGAATACAAAGAACCCTTGTTATTCATCCTCAGCACACGACTACGGATTATTTTGCAAATAATTTTAAATGTTCTTCAAGGCGATTGACTTGCTGTCAGTTCAACTTGTAATTTGGATAGTTAGAGTCCTTTTGACTCAAAGAGTTTGTCATGTAATAATGTATCACTCATTAGTACTTGTGTGATATAAAGAACTTATCGAACAGTGTAAAACAATTATCGAATTTTTAAGTTGTCAAATCGTATCCTTTTACTCAGAAATAGACTACAGTATATATATATATATATATATATATATATATATATATATATATATATATATATATATATATATATATATATATATATATATATACTTTTTTAACAAATTAGGAGTTAACTGAGTTAACAACAGTACAAATATTAAGATGGTTATCACTTGAAATGGACGCTACTACAGACTACAGTGACAGGTTATTTTACTTTTTTTTCTTTTTTATCAACTATATAGGAACCTTTTTAAATAGAAATTTGTCAAAAGCAAAGTCGTAATGGTGAATATTTTGAGAATTTCTCAAAAAGGATGGGCCAAATGATCAAGGGGTTGAGATATATGTCAAAACTATTGGCCAAATGATAAAGATTTATCAATTTGATCGCACATTTTTAGAATTTAAACAACAGCAAAAATCGTAGAAGAAATTGGGTAATATAGTGCCATCAAAACTATCACCACGACCGCTGGCAGTGGAAGGGATTAGGCAAGACGCATTAATGACAGGGCTTTCATTTGCCACGGACAACAAATAACATGTACCTCGTGGCATTCAACTTTTAAAATTAACGGTATGCATTAAGTTATCTGTAATTATGTAATGATTACGAAGATGATAAGGACAAATAATTTCGAGGCTTGTAGTTTTTTGGCCACTTATGCTGACATTCTCTTTGACAATTTTCTAGTAAGAATAATAAGTATAATACTCGAAGTTTTAAGTCACTGTAGGCGCCTCTTTTTTTCCTCAGAATAGTTTGTTTAATAATGAATATTTTAAATTACTTTTAATTCTCTTGTTAACCTTAGACCACATTCAAAAGATACACACAAAAAACATTCCAATATTACAATTGAGAATATGATCAGAAATTATCATTTATGTGTTAGCATAAAATATACCAACTCGTGTATTTCATGTTTTGAGCAAAGTCATTATGCTCGTAAGGAAATATTTTATTTTGTTACAAATATTTTTTATTTGTTTGGGCAGGATTGTAATGAAAAAGCCTGACAAAAATGAAAAGCTGTGAGAGCTTGCTCATTTGGTTAACTTTTACCAGAAATGAATGGTCTGCTTAAGTACGAAAATCTATAAATCATTTACAGATTATTTAGTAAGGATTATCATATAGTTACGTCTTATATTAATTATAAATTAGCATGTGCATGAATGAAGAATGAATGAATTATTAATAATGAATGATCGATTCTTTAATTTTTTTTTTCAAATACTTAAGAAAAGACAGTCGGACAGACATACAGACGTGTACACTGACTCATATAAAACAGTACACAAAGAATACGAATTTATTGGGAACTCGAAAATGATTAGACCATAGCCTGATCACTCTGAAATCAATCACCTTTCCCGCGCTTACGTTGACTCTTATTGCCCCAAGCGAGAAAAACGTCGTTTAGGAATCTAACGCAGCTGGATTATGCCAAGCATTAATGGACTCTCGTGCGATATCGTCTTAAGAATTCACCTTAAAGGGTGTACTTCAAAGCCTATTCAATAAAGGTCCTACTGTCGATAGCTCAATATCAGGGGGGAAAAAGCATCAGTATACGGATAAATGAATATGCGTGCACATTATATATGTAAATATGCCACTAAACATAACACAAAGTCTAACTAAAATTAAAAATGTTTGTTGATGATGCATGCATACATACATACATACATACATACATACATACATACATACATACATACATACATACATACATACATACATACAT